GTTCGTTTGAGAAACTGCTACAAGAACACGCACACACGCATACCCATGCACGTACGCACGCACACACAAAGACACGAATCTTCGATAGAAATTGAATGTCTAGAATAATAGCACGGCTTTTACACGTAGCTTGAAACACGCTTGACGCGACATCTTGATGACGCTTTCCTTTCTTTCCTTCATATTCTTTTTTTTTCTTTTCTTTCTTTTTGTTTTTTTTTTTCTTCTTCTTTATTCCCTTTTTCGAGCTCAAGAAAAGATCATTGGACGCATGCTGTACGCCGTTACCACCCGGAACGGATTGCGCGTTCTTATTTGTTTGACGATTAACGTTTAGCAGAAGAGAGAATGCGTCGTACTAAAAAAATATATGTATATATATGTATATATGTATATATATGATACATATACGTATGTATATATGCTTATCGTTTTGTTTCACGTGGAACATCCAACCGCGAAAATTTCAGGCTCGCGATCGATACGTATGATCGCGTCCGCCCGTATAGAAGCGAAACGTGTCGCTTGTTAGATTAAAAAAGAAAAAAAAAAAAAAAAAAAAAGAAAAAAAATGCCCGCTATATCGCGCGCGTCGTCATCGTTCTCTACGTTATTAGCGTCCTCGTCTTCGTCTTCACGTTCTTTCTTTCTTTTTTTTTCTTCTTTGCTTTCTTTCGTTTCGTTCTTTCCCTGCTGTTGTTCTTTTCGAGAAAAATCGGTGCTACGACTGCGATCGGGAACGAAACCCGAGAATGTTGCTCGTATAATCCTTCGCTGGACAGTTACTTACGCTCATGATGAAACGACGGCGATTATTAACGAAGCACGTACTATCAAAAATCAATGGAGTCCCAGTAGAAACGATGATATCACTGTACACCGTCGTACAGGGTCGAACAGCAATCATAGAAACAGTTTTATAGTGAGCGATAGTAGCAGCGACACATTAGTAACAATTGCAACAGCAGCTGATGTGTGTGATCTTGTGTATGTATATATGTATGTATATACTCGTGTGTGTGTTCGTGTGTGTGTGTGTGTGTATGTATCAGGTGACGGTGACGTACTGTTCTTTTGTACTCGTTTGCGTGTGTTGCGAGTCGAATTGGTATGTATATATCTGTCGGAGGATTCGCGATTTCATTCACGATGAGGCTTGTTCTCACTGTTGACGGCCAGGCGACCCAGAGTCTCGGTCTGGCAACCGAAAGAGAGAAGGTCCCACGATCGCCGTGAATCGGCGACCATCGAAATTAAAGGTCCACCGGTAGCGTGGTACATCGGACGATTTGCATCAGAGTCGTTTTTATGCGAAATCACAGAATGACGCAGCATCTGCAATATCGCTGCCGTGATGCTCCCGCGCTTGGCGGCGGTGTCACTGGCGCGAAGTACGCGTGGACTTTGATGTTCGGCAAATGTGTCTGAAACAGAACCACCGGACGGTTTTTTAAAAAAACTTAGAAAATGAAAGAAAGAAAGAAAAGAAAAAAAAAACAGAAGAAGAAGCGAACGGAAACATCTTGAAATTTTTAAACGCCATTTTGTTATCAATTGTTCATCAATAAGAGTCGCTTCCCTTAATTAATTAAAATGTCTTACGATCTTCCCCGCTTTTCAAAATCCGTTTTGACGAAGCATTTTCATTTCTTTTTCTTTTATCGAGTTTCGCATTTGACTCACATTTTGCGTAACCATGCGAAATACTGTGAAATGATATGAAATTTAATACAACTAGGCCTGATTAATCGGCGTGCGACTGCTATAATAAATACAACGATGTGCCAATGCCTTTTGTAGACATTGTCATAAAGTTTCCCGTGTTTTTTATCTGCCAAGTCTTAAATTATATTGCACAGAAACGACGACTAAATATTTCAGATTGAACGAAGACGACGTGAAAACGCGATGATACTTCAATCTTCTTGGGATGTTTTGAAATAGCAGATAAGACATTTCAACGAAGGAAAGCGGCAGCGATTCCATCTGTTTAAGAACGTAATATGCGACTCGACTGAGCGATATCGAACCGAATAGCGTTTAATCCATTTGCAACACGATAGACTTGTATCGCCGTATCATTGATCATAGTTCACCGAACAAATCGCGATTTATTCCGATTGAAATATTTACTAGTCGCCATTAATATTAACTGATCACAGCGAAGAAAAAAAAACGTCAGAGTGTACAAAGGATAATGCATATTAATTATGAATGATTATAAATGTAAAACACTTAGTTGTTGTCAGTTGCTGTCGGCAAAGTAGATATTATTCACAAAGGAGTCCACTTCGTGATGCAAATGGGTGAAACGCTATTCCCGATAGTGCGATAATTACTTAATCAGGATTAGAGATAAGCACCGTGAATAGAGAATTGTCTTAAATAGGAAGATGTAGGAAAGGAAGACGAAAATTACTCTGAGTCTACGTATGCCAGCTCTGGTGATCAGTTGACAATCGTAAAGCTCGATGCGCTCGAGATTGTGGCACGCCTGTAGAAGATGATCGAGGCTAGCATCTGTGATAAGGGGGCAATTGTCCAATTCCAGCACTGCCAGATGTTCCGCTGCGCACGGCGAGAGAGCCAACTGTCGGATGCCTTCGTCGGTGATCAGTTCACAGTGAGACAAACTCTGCGTGAAGAAAGTCATCGATTCGAGAAGTTAGAAGTTTCCTCGCTTCGAGAGATATTTCCCGTGTTTAACGCGTCCACGGTTTCGAACTCGCGGCTCGCGAGTCACAGTCGCTCGAAGCAACTATTTGCTCCTCGTTGTTACACATTTTCAAACAATACCCGATAGACGACACGAATCACATTGAGAAGCAACGAACGTTTGGATTCTCTCGTTGGTCTCGGTTTCCCGAAGCGATATTTTCGGTTCTTAGCAACGAGTTCTTTTCTTCGGTCTCTGCTACGAACGGAAGAGGAGACACGAAGGAACACGTTGAACATTTTCACGGGACACGAAACGCCGTTAGAGCGTCACTGGGCTTCAACGCGGGGCGCAGCTCGATGTTATTTAAATTCACTTACCAGTTTCTCCAATCTTGGACAGCCCATGGCCAGGTGAATGAGCGTGGCGTCTGTTATTAAAAGGCACTCCTCCAGATCCATCTTCTCTAGCAGTCTGCAATTCTGAAACGCGAGAAAGAAACCCGTTGTCTAGAGGCCTGGTGGCCTGTTTCGAAGCACAGCCGTATCAGTCACGATGATCAACTCACTTTCGCGAGAGCCTGAAAGCCCGCGTCGGTGAAATGAGTGCAAGCCACGCATTCGAGCACGCTAAGGAGCGGACAGTGTTGCGCCAACGTGACCAGGGACGCGTCTGTTAGATTAGGGCAATTCGACAGGCAAACATAATGCAATCGTGGACATTGTTCGCTGAGTTCTCTCACCGCGTCGTCCGTTATCTTCTGTAACGAATCCATTTTCATGAATCACGCTTTCAAAGGCGGGGGCGGGGGGATTTGGAGAATTTCTTTTAACAAGTTCAGCGTCGCGATATGAGAGAAGAGAAATCTTTCGACATGTATACCGAACAAGAAGCAATTTCTAGGAATTCATCGTGGCGAGCGAGGGACGTATCGTATTGATATTCATTGCGACGCTCAACTTGCAATCCTCAAACTCGTATTGCTTGCTCTTGCTAATTCGATCGTAATTCCTGAAAAGAATCGCATGATTCGCGCGATTGATCTAACCATGGTTACGGAGGACGTGTGTATTCCTCGGTTATCCCGGACGTTTCAATTCCAGTTGGCAGTGTTTAGCACGCGTGATTAATAAATGTAAATCTGGCGATAAATATGATAATAAGTGCAAATACTATTTTCTAGCCGCAGTCTGCAGATGGTACTCGTACGTTGGAATACGCATCCACCGTAGCCTTGCAAACGATCTGAGAAACTGTTCAGGTAATCGAAGAAAGAACAAGCAAAGTCTTTCCTGGCAAATACGAGCGCCAAAAGATGGAAGTCACGTTAATTGCGTTTGCATGTACCCTGCATTCGTGTAAATTGATCGCCTCCAAATTGGGGCAGTAACGGGCCAGACATTTGACAGCCCTGTCTGTTAACTGACGGCAGCCTCTGCACAGAAAGCTACGGAGTTCCGGGCAACCTCTCGCCAACGCTTCGACACCGTTGTCGGTAAGTAACTCACACCAGGACAGGTTAATGTGAGTGAGAAGCGGACAGCCATCCGAGAGGTCCTTCAGGGAAATGTCCGTTATCTCGGGACACGAGTCCAAGTTCAGTCGTTGGAGTTTCGAACAGTATCTGCTTAGGGCCGCGCAGGTAGCATCCGAGATCTTTTTGCACTGGCTGAGGTTCAGCTCCTCGATGTTGGCACACGACTCGGCCAACGTACGCATCGAATTGTCTCCGATGCTCTGGCACCCTCTGAGAGACAGCTTCCTCAGGAAACCTCCGCATCGTTTCGATATATTTCTTATGACCTGTTCCTGCGTTTCGAACATTTCCGGTTAGACGACACGAACAAACGAACGCGATTTCTCGTTTGACGATCAAAACGCGTTGCTCACCAACTTACAGGCTTTCGTCGCGGGTCGCAAGGAGTTCGCACATTACCGTGATCCCGTGATGAACTCTCGCGATAAACGCCGAGCTCGATATTCGTTCGGAATTAAGGGAAAGAGAAACACAGCGAGGTACTTGCCCGGATGGCAAGCAACGCGTCGAGGGTTCGATTTACCTCCACGTCTCGTTGGAAATCGAAGAGATCGATCCTCTGCCAATTGGATCCGTCGAGCGCCAACACGTTCCAGGCTTTGCTTACTTGCGCGCACCGGCATAGCGATACCACGTCGAGATACGAAAAAATTCTGCCAATAGTACGGCAAAATTACGTTACACACCGTTTTCCCGTTTTGATTATTATTCTTTCGGGGGAAGAGAAAAACTTACACCATCAAAAAAACAAAAAAAAAAAAAAA